CACCAAGGGGTCGGTGGCTCATGGCGATGGCGTTTGCGAAAAGCCCTGGATTCCCCGGATACGAAATCGTTCCGGTCGACTCGTCCTTTCCTGCTCACGGAAAATGTCCTTGCCGATGGCATTACAGTCCTCGAGCCCAAGAGGGACCCTCCTGCACTCTCCTCGAAGATCGTCACCTCGAAGATCGTCACCTCGAAGATCGTCACCTCGAAGATCGTCACTCTCGACGGGTCGTCACCGCGTTTTTCTGCGCGCTTTTCAAGGCTCGGACTCGATCCAATACCCGAGGAGCAACAAGATTTTCACCGGAAAGAAGGAACAGAGGCGGAAGTTTGGAAGAAAAATCATGCTGGCACATCCGTGGAGCAAATGGGTCGAGCCGAGGCCCTCACCGAAGATGTTAAGCCGTTAATTCAAGGCGACCCAGACATAATCCACGAGACACGCAGGATCCATACCGCTCCTCCTCGCCCTCATTCCTCGCCATTCCTCGCCATTCCCGGACGGATAACGACCGAGTCGTGATGTCCCGCTCCGTGTTCGCTCCGTGTTCGACCGATTCACTTCATGCTTCTCCTCTCGCACGAAGCTTTTACATCGCAGGCGAAGACTTTGAGGGAAAGGCGCTCTTCCTCGCCATCGATTCCTGTCTCGATGATAAAAAAGGTTTTCCACCTGGAATCACACGAAGCCTTCTTGCGTACCTTCTGTGTCGTTCTGGGGGCTGAACGACTTCGAACGACATTAAGTCGCTTGTATCAATTCCAGGGGCCGGCATGCCTCGAAGTTCCCCGACGGACGGCTCTGCATCTGAAATGAAGGAATAATAAAGGAATAATAAATAAAGATCTTAATTCTTTCCCTCGCATCTTACCTCGGGGCAGTCTCGCGACGATGTCGTCGGACAGGAAACGAAGAAAGAAACGAAGAAACGAAGAAAGAAACGAAGCGGGGCTACTGCGATGCCGATCCCAAATTTAAAGGTCCGTTCTGAAAATGCCGAGAGGTCAAGGACGAAGCATCCATCCTCGTTCTGCCGAGTGGATCTTTTAATGCAAAATCGCGTTAATGTCTGATTTTACCCGGAACGAGCCGAAGCCCCTGGGAGCATCCGAAGGTCGGCCCGGAAAACTGCACGAGGAAGAAAACGCCCGCAGCAACGTCTTGCACGCGTTTCGGCTCGAAGCTAATGGGATATCCCGTGCGGAAAAACCGTGCCGAGAGCGTGGAAGGATCCCGTCACAATGGACTTTCGTAACGGGGCTTCTCGCCCGCGCACACGAGGGGGAGGAATTGCACTCGAGAAAGAGGGAGAGAATTCACCGAGAAAGACCTTCAGCCGAGGGAGAGAATTCACCGAGAAAGACCTTCAGCCGTCGCGGCTAGTCGCGTGTCACGAGGGCAGTGCAACAGTTCATTCGCCGTGCGAATGGCAACGAAAAGGGCAACAACCGGCTCTCGACATCCCATGTCGCGAGCCGGTTGTTGCCCCAGGAGCTTCTCCAGACGAGGGGAGAGGAGGCTAACCTCCCGGAAATTTTTTATTTATTTTTTTTTTTTTTTAGCTTTTCTCCAGTGACTCTCGGCGTAGAAAATCGCCTACTTTCCGCGGGGAGGATAGCGTGTGTGACGTGGGAACGTGCCGCGAATCGGGGCCTCGATCTGCTCGCTATCTCTCCCGATGGCCTTCGGGCGGTCAAAGGCAGGCGAAGGCATTTCGGGACCGAATGCGCCGACCTCGCTCGGGCGAGATAAAGAGGCCTTTCGGTCTAAAGGGCACTTTCCCCCAACAGGACTCCATGCGTTCTAAAAAGGACCGTTAATTAATATCAGCGTTCGGCCCTTTGTCCCTCCCTCGGCATCCTCGGACCATTAAAGATTTCCGAGAAAAAAATTAATGGACTTCCGCACGGACAAACGCGGGACGCCTCGCCTCGCATCGCGTCGCGTCGCGTCGCCTCTCGACTCCCTCTCCAGGCTTTAAAAACGTGGACGAACCCGCGCGTGCACTTTTCGTTCGTTTGGTGTCCAGCCTCCCGCGCTTTTTGTGTGAATTCGTCGGAAGCGGAATGGATTGGTCAGCCAACGAATCGAGATCATCGCCAATATACGCTGCAGATCGTGATTTCCTTCCCGAATTTAAGTATCTTATTTTTTTGTTGATGATGAAACCGAATTTCAAGTTTCGCGGCGTTTCCGTCGCGGTGAAAATGGTCGCGAACAGCTCATCGCGGGTGCGAGTTCGCATGCATCTTTCGTTCGAGCGCAGTTTCGTCGCAGACACCTGTCGTCGCAGACGCCTGTCGTCGCAGACGCCTGTCGTCGCAGATGCCTGTCGTCGCAGATACCTGCAGTCGCAGACACCTGTCGTCGCACTTCCCTTGTCACGAGGGCATTGCATTTCCACATGATGTCTCGACCCGACACTGACGGACCCCCTCGACGGAAGCCCGTCGATCGCCGTTCGCGAAAGAGCGGCGAAGCCAGATTCTGCAATTGCGAGCCACTCTTCGCGCCCCGACAGGCCTTGCAGCTCAGATCGTCGCAAAATTTTCGAGTCCCCCTTTGTCTCTCTCCGCGGTTCCCGATTCTTCGTGCAGCTTTATCAATAATAAATCCCTCTCTCGAACTCCTTCCCGTCGCAAAAATTCAACCACTTCATGCTCCCCCTCGAGAACTTCCGGAGGATCGACATCGGGCACGCTTCTTCCCCTCTCGACACAGAATCCTTCCGGCAGATTCGAAGCTTCGATTCTCCGGGAACACCGAATCTCACTTGTAGAATATGAAAAGTGCCCTTGTTGTTTGCGATGCGTCAGTTCGCTATGAGAAACGAAACTAACTCGCCTTCATTTAGATTTAGCGTGCGGGGTCCCGTCCCCCCAGTGTTGCCGGATTTCGTGCTGGCGCTATGTCGGACTGTTGACTGCTTCCGCCTTCGTATCGGTGTCTGGACCTTTTCTTTGTTAATGCATGAGGCATTTCCGAGCTGAGTTCATGAAACGAACCGAGATCGAAACGGTGATTATCAGCGGCCGATCGATGCGGAAGGAAATGGAGAAATCTTATCGGACATCCCTGAATGAAAAAAAAGGATGGCGGGCGACTCGCATTTCAAATCCCGGCAGCATTCTCATCACAGACTTCGTCGAGATGGTTCGAGGAACTCTTGATAGGCCTAACACGTCCTCTCTGCATTGGTTAGTGACGGTCGGAATAGGCCTGCAATCGGCCTAACGTTGCACGTCCTTGCCAAAACGTCTCGAAGTGCCCGGGATGGAACCATTCTGGCCTGATCGACCCGGTAAGTCGAAGGTTGAGATTCTTTTTGAAGGAAAAACGGTAGGCCTTGGTCTGACCCGACGACAGTCCGTGGGATAGGCCTTGGCCCAACGTTATTGAGTCCTGTGGAGAGGAGGGGGAGGGGGAAGGTTGAAAAAAAAAAGCGAAATGCCTTTGAAAAATGATTTTCACACTACTTCATACCTCTGTATGCATGTTGACGTATGGCTCGAAATTGAGTTTGAGAGACTCCGGATCACCATTCCTTCCGACTCGCTTTTTTTTCCGCCTTGATTTAACCCATACCTGCATGCGAGCGCAACGATCTGTATCTGGCACAAAATAGCGCAAGGAGAAAAAAGGGGTTTGCGACAATTCGTCCGAAACTATTTGATACAAGACGCTCGCAAATGCAGAAGAGTTCAACGGGGTAAGGGGGAGAAGAGAGGGGGGGAGGGCCTTTTGAGAAAATGCCTATGAACCCCAAGGTTTCTCAACAAATTGTCATGTGTGCCTGTAACCTCACGCACTTCGCGTCGCACCTACGGATCTGAGTGGTGCTTGTGTAGTGGACAAAATGCGGATCTCTTTAAACGAGAGGAGGCTCACTACTGGACTGGGCTTGCCCATCTTATTCTTTATGAAATGCCCCCGGGTGCCGGCGCATCGAACAGCTTTGGCTTCGCTTTCTTTCATTTTCTCTCCGTTCCTTTTCCTTGACCGGATGCGGCACGTGTGGGTGGCTGCGTCTTGTGGCGGAATGGGAGTCCTCGCTGCGGGGAGTCCCCAGAGCCCCCTCCCCGGGAGCATCCCTTACGTCACCGATGAACTTCTCCCATTACGAAAGGGCATCGGAGCCAGTCATGCCGCACGAAGCTCTAATGCCGATTTGTGCACTCGTTTGTCTATGATGTTCTACCCAATTGTTGGACTTGGCCAGGTACGATCGTGGGCAATTATTTATCGCTCCCCGCAATATTACTTGGTGAAAAATTTTCCTACACCATGCCGTGTTTCATTATTTTACTACGTTCTTAAAATGCCGCCATATTAAAATACTACGTCAGATGTAATAATTAATCATTCATAATTAGCTTTCGGAATTGATTGTTCCTTGATTTCTGAAAATATAACGCATTGTACATGGCAATTAACAGGAAAGTTAAGAGCAATTCCCAATGGTTTGTGATTAAAAATCAAAATTCATTAACCCATTATTGCTGAAGTGCGGCATTTTCCGTTTTTCGTTTGGAAGTTGTCTGTACATCTGGACTATCTTTACACGCCATTAAAAAATAAATAAATTACATCGTGCATGAAAACGTTTTGGGGCTCAACTTGAAAACTACTGGACATCTTGAAAACTGCTAAGGCCGTGCAATTCAGCGCCAACACCCATCCTTTAAGAGGCTAATTACAGGATAAAGGTCTCATTCTGTTACCACTATATCGTTCCAGTTAGACAACGGCCCTTCCGTCCTGCTCTAACAGAGATTAGGAACTGTAGATAGGAATCCGTTCAGACACCATTACATGAATTGATATGGAACTAATTATTAAGGTCAAAACCAGCTCTATCCAACAGCGAATAACTATGCTGAAATCACATGATACTGGCACACAGATAATCCGATAATTATATCGACTGGGTCTCGGCCCAAGAAACAGTTGGGATGTTTTTATTAACGATAATCGGAGGAACAAAAAAACCAGGCATTTCAAAGTTCTTCCCTATGTCTCTTCGGCTGGGAGGCGAGGAGTTGTTCCCAGAAATCGAGGAACTTGGAGTCCATCAGGTTTCGCGACAATCGGGGGTGGAAGTCAAACACAAAGTGACGAGGGTCGTCTTGCGTCCATTGGGGCCATTTCACGTCCGCCCGAGGATCTGGTGTCGGGTCGCTGCGGTCCGCAAATAATGCATAAATAAAAATAAAACAAAACCATATAAAATGAAATAAAATTAAGATTATGCAAAAGCAAAAAATCAAATTGAAAAAAATTAAAAGGTGAAATTACTTCAGCAGTTCATTTGTAATCGTCAGAGCCGAAATATAAATCCAAGCGGGAATGATACAACTTTTCCCCTGGCACAGAGGCAGAGCCGAACAATGGAAGACACAGGGGCAATCCGCGAAAAGAAAGCTAGAGGGGACTCACCCTGATTTGGCAAACTGGACAACGATCCCCGTGAGGATATCCTTCATTGCTGCGTCCCTCTCATCACCGCCAGGGATGTTGGCCGCGGGTAACAGATAGACGATGTCTTCGGCGTGCGCCACACCTACTCCGGAGGGAAGTAATGCCTAGTAATACACTGTAAGGTCTAGTGAAGCCTTATGATGCCGGCCTCTTTCATGATGGGTTTTTCAGTTTGAAAAGGAGTAAAGTTATATCATATAAACAATTTAAATAATACGGAGTATGATCTATAATGAACCACACCAGTATCTCCTTACTCATCGATGGTTTACTGCAGGAGGAGTGCTGCATAACGCTGTTCACATGATCGAGAATAAACCAAACAGGGACTACCGTCTTGCGGTGCACTCCGTATAACAAACGAGTCAATGTACCATTAAAAAAAAATCAAATCTCATAAACAGTTAACACAAAAAAATAAGTAACATTACCTAAACGATAGCATGTCATTTGGAATTCTCTTTGTCAAAATGGAGGTATATCTGAGTTTAGAAAGTGCCTCAAAATACCCTTTACCTATATAAATACATTTGGCATAAAGCTCGGCACAAAAAAATTATCGAAACTCCCCTTTAACTACGATGGGACTCTGAAAGACATCCATCCAGGTTGCAAATTTTCTTCATTACTCCAACCTAAATTGCAAATCCTTTTCTCGTGACAGCAAAAGCAAATTAAATGAACTATTTTTTTCAATTTCTCAATTCTACCTGAAGTTAGAAGGAGAAAAAAATTAAATTTAGCAAATTTTTAGAATGGGTTTCAATTAAGTGTACCAAATATATCCCTGAACGAGTACACCTTCCTAATATGAATTGAAGCGAGTTCCTTTTGAGTCTGATTCAAAGGCAATATAATGAAGAAAAAAATTCTAAAGACGTTCTTTCTATGAATGCCAACAATAGTGACCTACTTGTTGCAGTTTGGAAAATATTTCAGTTTGAAATGGTAGTAATGGTAATAATGGTAGTAGCTTACGGTACACCTTGTAGATATCTCACCCGTGAGCTTCGGGACAGAGTCCCTAGCTTCCTCCGGAAGTGACATGACAAACGTGGACCTGATGAAGTCCAGGAACCGGTGGCTTCCCTCGTACTCGAAGGAGTAGAGGTACGTGGGGACAAAGCGGCTCTGGGCCTTCACGGTTTCGAGGGTCCCCACCTTCACCATGTGGTCTCCCATCATCTGATTATAAATTTTCATTTTTTTTTATCTTCCTTTTTCCGGTCCCGAGACGATGAGAAAACACAGATAAAACTCTCTTTACCCTGACAAGATCGTATCGATTGTGGCGGTTGATGGGTCGATCACCGAAGTATTGCTTCCTGAGGCGACTGCAGTAGTTCCAGGTGTCCTCAGTCTTCCCAAGGAACATTCGAGGACAGTAATAGTCCCAGTTTCCGTCTATCTCAGGCAGCAGAGTCTCGTTCAACAAGACCTCTGAAGCGTGATAAAAGTTCAGGAGTATCGGGGATGTTTTTGTTGTCAGAAGGAGTAAGGGTAAGAGAAGAAATAGTTATAAGAAAATTCAGCTTACTATAGACCGACAAGAACCCTTCATCCCGAGTGACTCCTGTCATGAAAGGGACTTTTGCGAAACGGCCTTTTCGCAGGAGGATCTTCGGGTCGTCCGGCAGAAAGGGATTCTCCGCTTCGGAGTCCACACGAGGAGTGAATGTTAGAGGCATCAATGACCACAACTGGATTGAATGAATTCTCCCCATATTATTCACGCATTTCATATATTGAAGGGCTTGCGTGTCAGCTCGGAAGGGAAATGACGAAGAAGCTCACCCGAAAATTGAGCGACTTAGCCATCAACTCCTGTGAGTCCTTCGTGCGAAGACATTCAACCAGGGCACGGCTGGAGTCTCTCGGGCATCCCACCATATCTCCGAGCTTCTCTGCTACATCTCTGGCTTCCCACTGCAACGCGCAGAGGTTCGTGGCGACTCCGCTCATCGCGATTGCGTTTGTGAAAAGTCCTGCGTTCCCCCAGAAATTTCAGGAATCCATGGTCAACTCATACTTTTCTTGCTACCCAAGATCACAACATCCTGTGGATGATATTATGGACCTCGAGCCAAGGGGGAGAGAACCAGAAAGTGTACACTGGCCCCTCCTGCACTCGCCCCGAAGATCGTCACCCTTGATGGGTCGCCACCGAAGTACTCCACATTTTCTTGCACCCATTTCAAGGCTTGGACTTGATCCAACATCCCGTAATTCCCATGAGCATGTTCGTCCTCCGTCGACAAAAAGCCTGAAAAGCAACAAGATTTTGAATGGAATGAAAGAACAGGAGTGGAAATTAGGAGGAAAAATAAAGCTGGCATAATCAATGAGTTACTGGAGTGAGACCTACCAAAAATGTTAAGTCGGTAATTTATGCTGACCAGGACAATGTCGTAATCCATGAGATACTCAGGGTTATACATTAAGGCTTGAGAGCTGCCAAATACGAATCCTCCTCCGTGAATCCATACCATTACCACCATTTTGGGGTTTTCCTCGCCTTCTTTTGGCATCTGCGATGGATGAATAATGACCAATTCGCGATGACACTCTCCTTCCCAAGCCGATTAATTTCTTTACCATGGAGCGAATCCTTTACCTTGCGAGTGAAGACATTGAGGAAAAGGCAGTCTTCGTCGCCATCGATTCCTTTCTCAATATATTCACCGACCTGGACGCACACAGAGCCTTCCTGCGTCGCGTCCCGAGTACCCGACCACCCACTGTGCCGTTCTGGGGGCTGAACAATTTTCAATGTTCCTCAGTTGCTTGTTTTTGTGACAGCGAACCAAGCGTCATTGTAGTTATCAATTCCAGGGACTTGCATACCTTGAAGCGAAGTTCCCCGACGGGGGGCTCTGCATATGGAATACCCTGGAAGGAATAATAAAGGTGTTCCCCACTGGATTTGGCTTCTTTCCCTCGTAGATCTCCTTGGGGTAGTCTCACGACGATGTCGTCGGTCAGGACGCATCCCGAGAAACAGAGCAGTGTAATTGCGACACAGGCACCGATCCTGAACATAGTTTACCTAAATTCAAGGAACCTTGGCGACGAGGTGCTGTTGGTGTCAAGGCCAAGGACGAACAACCCATTCCGTTACTAGTAAGTGGAATTTAAAAGCAAAATTGCATTAGCTATTGTTTAATTTTTTAAATACAGATAATCCGAAGCATCTGCGATTGTCTGAAGGTCGGTCACAGATAATCGTAGTGTCTGCACGACAATTGATGGATACCAGTGGCGGCTCGTGATAGGTATGAGTAACATGAGGGGGGATAGACGGATAACCAAAACGGTCCTCACGCACCGATCGGCAGGCGGGCGAGTTTTTTTTTCCGATATCCAGGAGAGGGAACCGAGGCGAAGCGGAGATTCATGGTCGAGGTCTGCTAGGATACGCATATGTTTCGTGCCGGTTCTCTTGTGTACGAGTAATTTTGAGTAAGCAGGTTCCTGAGTCGAGATTTCGGTAAAATAGGTTGGTTATATTGGTATCGTAAGGCATGTGATATGAAAGCTACTTATTTCGGTGAAGATATTGTATACGGTCGGCATGAGGTTCGAAGAACATCTCATGATGTTCGAAGATGGTCTTTTTTTTTTTGCTCTTTAAAGTTTTCGTTTCAGTTCTGCAAGTCATTTGACATAGAGTTCAAGTTGCTTGATCTGTCACATTATCTTGCAAATTCACAGTTTCTCCAATCATTCAAAGGTGACCACAGCTAGACGCTGAACATGAGAGATTCGTGGAGTAGGACTGTTGCTACCTCGGTTGCTGTGTATGACCGGGGAGGTGGCCCTCACCAAATCAAGATATACTGTACTGTACAACTGAGATCGGAGGGGTGACGGCCTAAGGCCCAATGCGCATGCCCCACCCAGTTCCCACTCCCAGCTTCTTGCCGCAGGCTCGTCTTTGCAAGGGTTGGATAAGTGGTGAAGTCGTCAGGTTATCCGACGGCTTGCTCAACACAGGGGCCTATGGGGGGGCGGGGGGGGGCGAAGGTACAAGCAGCAGTAGTGGTTCGTCAGTGCAGACAGAGGAGGCTGGCTTTCCCTGTCTCCCCCCCAAGAACTACTATCATACTGCTTCATATCACGAGCCGCCACTGACGCATACAACCCAAGCAAGTTTCTTGCGCGCTGTTAGGCTAGAAGGAAATGGTATATACCATGCGGAAACTTGCCGAGAGCCTGGAAGGATTTCGTCACAATAGGCTTTCATAACGGGCATGTCGTCTGCACACACAGGAGGAATTGCACTCGAGGAACTGCCAAGGACGAAGGTGCATGGAGCGAGTTACTCGAGATAGGCAGGCGGGAGCATCCGAGGAAGAGAGACCTTGAGCCGCGGCTCGACGAGTGTATGTAAGAGGGAGGCAACAGTTCATTCGCGGTACAAGGACGTGGAGAGCCGGTTATCGGGATGTTACACTCAAGGGGTTCCTTCACGAAAAAGTATTGTGTCTTTCCTTTTGTGGCTCTCATGCTTTGAATTGTTGATCTTTCATTCTCTTACATGTAATGTGGCATGTGCCATGAATCCGGAAGCGGGCCAGAAAATCCCAATGAGGGGTGTTGATATGGAAAATTGGTAGCCCACCCCTGCATATATTACTAAATTTAAAAAATTTTAGAAATGAACCTGTTGAATGTATCCAAAGGGAGGGGTTTATGACCCCCATAACCCTTGGGCACGTCACTGCATGAATCAGGACGTTAATCCGTTCGTGATCTCTTCTGGTGGTCAAAGGCAGGTATTTAGTCCTGAATACATAGACCTCATTTAGGGGAGATAAAGGGACCTTTAAGTTAAAGCGATCTTTTCCCTCTATTCTTAAAGGACCATTAAATAAAGGAGGTTTCAGAATTATGGGTGGATTGCATAAAACTGACATTAGCGTAATGAAGCTTTAAACTTCCATTAGCACCGCTAAAGGAGATTTAAAGCTTTATTACGCTAATGTCAGTTTTATGCAATGTACCACAGGCCGAATATAAGCCAAAATAAAGATAGACTTGTTGATCACGAAAAGTGCCCTTTTTTGTTGTTTTCGTTGCATCCATCTGTTGGCTAAAATAAATTAAACTCTCTCGTTCATTTAGGCTTAGCGTGCGGGCTCCAGTCCCGTCCCCCAGTGTTGCCGGATTTCGTGCTAGAGATATGTCGGATTCATTACTGCTTCCGCCTTCATAACGGTGTCCGGATCTTCTGTTTTTTAATGTATGAGGCATTTTGCACTGAGTTCATGAAATGAGCCGAGATTGAAACGGTGGCTCGCAGCGGTCGATCGATGTGGTGGGATATGGAGATATCTTATCGGACATCCCTGTATTAGCAGGATGGCCCGCAACTTGCATTTCAATCCTGGAGACATTCTCTCTTCAGACCTGGTCGAGACGGTTCGAGGAACTCCAGGTAAGCGTAATGCGTCCTCTCTGAAATGGTTCGCGAAAGTCGGAATAAGCCTGCAATTGGCGTTACGTCGCACGCCCTCGTGGAGATGTTCGAATACTCCAGGACGGACCTTTATAGGCCTGATTGACCTGGTAAGTTGAGGATTTAGATTCTTTTTCAAATAAAGAAGGTAGGCCTATTTATAGACCTATCTGACCTGGCCCGGCGACAGTTTGTGGGTTAGGCCTGACGTTAGTAAAGAGTAGTAGTAGAGAGGAGGGGTAGGGGGACTGTTGAAAGAAGTGGAAAAGCCTTTGAAAAATGATTTTCACACTACTTCATATCCTTGTATGCAGGTTGAAATATTTCAATGCCATTCGCAAAAAAGTGAAAATCGTACGCAAATGGCGTGAAATTGAGTTTTAGTCTCCATTCCTTCATCCTCATTTTTTTCGCCTTGCCTGTCAGCAAGCGTGACAATCTGCATCTGCTAAGAGGTGCAACGACAATAACGGGTTTTCGACATTTCGTCTGGGGCCTTTTCGGCCACGACGAAAGTGCCAGTCACGAATGCAGAAGAGTTCAACGGGGAGAGTAAGAGAAGTGGGGAAGAGGGTTCGAAGAGGGGGAAAAGGGGAAGGGTGGGGGGAAAGGCCATTTTAAAGAAAATGCCTATGAACCCCAAAGTATCCCAACAAGTTGCCACATCTGCCTGTAGCCTCACGCACTTCGCGTCGCACCTATGAGTCTGGGTGATTCTTGTGTAATGGACATTGTTCTTAAAAACAACAGGAGTTCCCCAAGAAGGAAATTCATGAAAAATCTTCATTTGGATGGTGGAACGAGAGAATGTGGTTCAAGACCCAGCGGCCACGTCGCGTCCGCGTTCTCTTCATTAAATACCCTAGGGTGCCGACACATTGAACAGCTTCGGCTTCGCTTCTCTTCATTTTCTTTCCGTTGCTTTTTTTCGCCGGAGGCGGCGAAATGAGGGTGGCAGCGTCTTGTGACGGTACGGGAGTCCTCGCGGCCGTGAGTCCTCAAAGCCTCCTCCCTGGGAGCAACCCTTCCGTCACCGATGATCTTCTCCCATCACCAATGACATCGGCGCCACCAGTCATGCCACACCGAGCTCTGATGCCAATGTGTGCTTTCGTTTGTACATAAGATTCTACCCACTTGTTGAACTCATCCCGATACAATCGTTTGCAATTATTTTTCGCCCTCACATTATTATTTGGACAGAATTTTCCCCTATCACTTTGTAGTATTTCATTATTTTATTGCGTTCGTTCAATGCCGCCATATCAAGACAACGTTGGCTGTATTGATCAATCATCCATGATTGACTTTCGGATTGAATTGTTACTTGATTACTGCAGATACCACTGATAGCGCAGGGCAATTAACTGATAAAAGTGAAAAACAATCCAGAGCGGTTTATGATTAATCAAAATTCATCCATTGCTATAGCGGGCATTTTCCGTTTCTTGTTTGCAAGTTGTTTTTTACACTTACTAAATAAGAATCAATTACATTGAAAGTTAAAACATTTTGAGACTCAACTTGAAAACCGCTGCTGGATATCTTGGAAACTAATAAGACAGAACGCTTCAACGCCAAAACTCGGCGTTTAGGAGGCTAACTAAAGGTTAAAGGTCTTTTTCTGGTACAGTTAAGAGTGTTTCCGTCAGAAGAAAGCCCTTTAGGTCTCCTCTAAGAGCGATCAGGAGCTGCAGATAGGAATATGTGTTTGGACACCATTACATAAACTGTTATGAAACTAATTTTCGCGAAGTCGCCGCCAGGAACAGCTCTTTCCAGCAGCAAAGAAGAAGACCTGTTTGCTGAGATCACGTGACTCTAGTACACAGATAAACTATTCATGAAATCGACTGGGTCAGGCCCGAGAAGCAGGTTTTATTAAATGTAATCTGATGAACGAAAAAATACCCAGGCATTTCAAAGTTCTTCCCTGTGTCTCTTCGGTTGGGAGGCGAGTTGTTCCCAGAAATCGAGAAACTTGGAGTCCATCAGGTTTCGCGACAATCGGGGGTGGAAGTCGAACACAAAGTGACGAGGGTCATCTTGTGTCCATTGGGGCCATTTCACGTCCGCCCGAGGATCTGGCGTCGGGTCGCTGTGGTCGGCAAAAAATTGCAAGAAATAATAAATTAAAGTTCAGATGAAAAGAATAAAATTGCGATAACGCAAAAGAAAATTAAATACAAATAAAATGAAATGAAATGGGAAAATTAAATAGAATCTTAATAAATAAAAATAATACTCCATTGCAGCAGTTCATTTGTAGCGGTCGGAACCGAAGAAAAAATCCAAGCGGCAATGATACAACTTTCGGGGACCGTGTCTCCGTCTCGGCTTTTTACTTTCCCGTTAGGTGTCTCTCTTTCTATCTCCCCTGAGTGGGACTAAACCGTTTGAGCTGCTTCTAGGGGCACTCCTATAGGAAGTAACAGCGCGGGGTTTCATCAAGGCTAGGGACGATGGCCGCGGGGAACAAATAGGCGATGTCGTCGCCGTGGGCTACGCCTGTTTCGGAGGGAAGGTAATGCCTAGTGAGACCTTTTAATATCTAGTAAATCTTGTGATGGCTTGTGATGCCGGTCCCTTTCATGATGGGTTTTCCGTTTGGAAAGGAATTAGGTTATTGACCATTTAAAAAAAAAAAAGCTAAAACCCGCGCTGTCGCAAGGGGTTCCAGCTCGGCTAGTGCCGTCGCTTCACTTCTCTAAACCAAGGCCTGATGACCTGGTTAAAATACCGAATGGCACGATACGACACACGAAGTCAACTGCGAGAGAGTGAGAAAGAAAAGCAAAATGTGCCAACAGGCTTTCTCACACATCTCTGAAGATACCATATTTAAAACGCATTCAGTTCCGCTCCAAATGGATTGAATCCCATTCATTCTCGCAACTACCGCACACCGGTCCCGCATACTCGCACTTTTCTCTATCGTGATTTCTTCTTGGGCCCTCTGGACCCTCTCCATTTTCTTTGGCGTTCCGCGTGTAGAGACGGGAGTATTTCGTGCTCAGTGTTTTAAGACCTGGTGCCTATATCGGAGAGAAATATCCGACTCGATCACATTTTGATCCCCAGTTCACTGTCACGTGAGCCCAACACGCTACCAATTGAACCATTGATCCCCCTAATAAACGCTGCCAAAGACCCAGCATCGAACGTCTCAAAATCAGCGTTGCACTGCTTTTACAATGCACCTTGAAGGACTCTTAAGTTCGAAAGGGAGTTATGGCCAAAGCGACCCTAGGCTAGCCGTCAGGAGGTGCATCCCCGACAGAGAGAATGCCTTCAAAAATGCTGAACCTTTTACTTTTGATCTTGTGATCCATCGGTCACAGTACCACCAAACTCCTTTGTCCTGATGCCGCACCCTAAGGAAGCATAAGGATCAAGTTTCATGATCAGGGGTCATGCCGTCCAGGATGAGAAGCGGCCTCACACAGACTCATTAGATTAGTAGATTGTCTATTGTGAACCACTCCATTTCCCCTTTATTAATCGATGGTTTGTTGTGAAATGGGTGCTACATTTCATTTCTCTGTTTCATCGATCATAAATCATTCACGGAATACCCTCTAATTGCAAATGCGGAAATCTTCATCCGGTTCCACTCAATCTGACTTCATTTCCGCAAATTTCCACTTGAATATCTCCTTTAAAGCAATTATACAAAGTATCACAGTACTGTTATTTTCATGCAAAAAATTACCTTCAACTCCCATTTATGCGATACTATTAATCCAATTTAGAAAAGGTGTCTCTGTTCAGTTTGAAGAATCAGCGATAATAAATCATTCTTTCGACGCAGCTGCAGGAAATTTCATCTTCGCAAACGTGTTGCCCGGTACCTTCATAAAAAGTAAGATAAGGATGATATGATCATATGTTATGAATATCTCACCGTGGATCTTCGGAACAGAGTCCCTGGCTTCCTCCGGAAGCGACATGACTAACATAGACCTGATGAAGTCCATAAACCCGCTGCTTCCCTCGTACTCGAAGGAGTAGAGGTACGTCGGGACGAACCGGCTCTGGGCCTTCACGGTTTCGAGGGCCCCCGCATTCATCATTTGGTCTCCAGCCATCTGATTAAAAATTTGCACTTTTTTTTAACCTCTTCATTCCGGTCCCGAGAAGAAGGGCCAGATGAAACTGTTTACCCTGACGAGTTCGTATCGATTGTGGCGGTTGATAGGTTGATCCCCTAAGTACTGTTTCCTGAGACGGCTGCAGTAGTCCCCGGTGTCCTCAGTCTTCCCAAGGAATATTCGAGGGCAGTAAAAGTCCCAGTTTCCGTCTATCTCAGGTAACAGAGTCTCGTTCAACAAGGCGGCTGAAGCGTGATAAAAGTTTAGGAATGTCAGGAATATTTTTGTTTCGAGAAGTGGGAGTAAAAAGGGGAGAAGGAGATAAAGTTATAAGAAAATTCTGCTTACGATAAATGAACATGATCCCTTCCTCTCGAGTGACTCCGGTCATAAAGGGGACTTTGGCGAAACGGCCTTCTTGCAGGAGGATCTTCGGGTCGTCCGGCAGAAAGGGATTCTCCGCTTCGGAGTCCACACGAGGAGTGAATGTTAGAGGCATCAATGACCACAACTAGACAGAATGAATTCTCCGCCTCATTAATTCGTACGTTTCATATGTTGAGATTCTTGCGAGTCCGCTTGGAAAGGGAAATGATAAAGAAGCTCACTCGGAAATCCATTGTCTTTGCCACCAACTCCAGTGAGTCCTTCGTGCGAAGACATTCGATCAGGGCAAGGCTGGAGTCTCTCGGGCATCCCACCATATCTCCGAGCCTCTCTGCTACATCTCTAGCTTCCCATTGCACGGCCCAGGGGTCCGTGGTGACTCCGCTCATCGCGATTGCGTTTACGAAAAGTCCTGCGTTCCCCCAGAAATTTGAGGAATACATGGTCAACTCATTCTTTTCTTGCTACTCGAGATCAGAACATCCTGTGGATGATATTAGGAACCTCGAGCCAAGGGGGAAAGGACCAGAAAGTGAACGCTGGCCCCTCCTGCACTCTCCCCGAAGATCGTCACCCTTGTTGGGTCGCCACCGAAATACTCCACATTTTCTTGCACCCATTTCAAGGCTTGGACTTGATCCAACATCCCGTAATTCCCATGAGCATGTTCGTCCTCCGTCGACAAAAAGCCTTAAGAGCAAAAAGAATTTGAATGGAATGAAGTGGAAATTGGGAGGAAAAATAACGCTGGCATAATCAGAGGGTTACTGGAGTGAGACCTACCAAAAATGTTAAGTCGGTAATTTATGGTGACCAGGACAATGTCGTAATCCATGAGATACCCAGGGTGGTACATTAGGGCTTGAGAGCTGCCAATGATGAATCCTCCTCCGTGAATCCATACCATCACCGCCATTCTGGGGTTTTCCTCGCCTTCTTTCGGCATCTGCGATGGATGAATAATGACCAATTCGCGGTGACCCTCTTCTTCTCAAACCGATTCACCTACTTCTTTACCATGGAGCGAATCCTTTACCTTGCGAGTGAAGACATTGAGGAAAAGGCAGTCTTCGTCGCCATCGATTCCTTTCTTGATAAATTCATCCACCTGAACGCAAACGGAGCCTTCCTGCGTCGCGTCCCGAGTACCCGACCACCCACTGTGCCGTTCTGGGGGCTGAACGATTTTCAACGTCCTTCAGTTGCTTGTTTTTTTGTGCCAGCGAACCGAGCGTTATTCTCGTTATCTATTTCAGGAACTGGCATACCTTGAAGCGAAGTTCCCCGACGGGCGGCTCTGCATATGGAATTCCCTGAAAGGAATAATAAAGGTGTTCCCCACTGGATCTGGCTTCTTTCCCTTGTAGATCTCCTTGGGGTAATCTCACTATGATGTCGTCGGTTAGGACGCACTCCGAGAAACAGAGAAAAGCAATTGCGACACAAGCACCTATTCCGCGCATGGTTAATCTGAATTCAAGGAACCTTGACGACGAGGTGCTGTGAGTGCCAAGGCCAAGGACGAACAATCCATTATGTTACTGCTAAGTGGAACTTAAAGCTAAATTATGGTAGGAATTGTTTGATTTTTTTTAGATAATCCGAAGCATCTACGATTATCTAAAGGTCGGTCGCAGGTAATCGCAGTGTTAGCACGAGACGGATACACCCCAAGCTCTTTCTTGTATGCAGTTAGGCTAGAGCAATGGAATATCCCATGCGGAAACCGTGCGAGAGTCTGGAAGGATTCCGTCACAATAGGCTTTCGAAACGGGCTTGTCGCTTGCACACACCGAAGGAATTGCACGCGAGGAACTGTCAAGGACGAATGTATATGGACGGAGTCACTCGAGATAAGGCAAGCGGGAGCATCCGAAGAGGAGAATTCATGGAGAGACCGAGAGACCTTGAGCTGCGGCTCGACGTGTATATGTAAGAGGGGAACGCAACAGCTCATTCGCCTTACAAGGACGTTGAGAGCCGGGTATTGGTATGTTATCCTCAAGTGGGTCCTATATGAAACATTTCCCGCTTTTTTCCTTTCGTGGCTTTCAGTCTTGGAAATTGCCGATCTTACGTCGTGTCGCATTGTGACGAGAGAATGTGCCTTGAATCTGGACATGACTCTTTTCACGATCTCTCCCGGTGGCCTTCGGGTGATCAGAGACCGATGAAAGCATTTATGGCCTATAGCCTTTTTACGATTCTCGTGCGTCTTTCTTCGATGTCCTTAGATAGGCAAGATTCGAACAAACGAGGAATTCACTGAAGATGGGTTCTACTCGGATCCACGCGGATGTCTCGCATCATGTCATGTCACTTGGACGGTCCTGTCTTGTCACTTATGAGGTTCTTTTAGGTCTTAAAATGCGTATGAACCCTTGAGCCGCTCTTGTATCCTATAAGAAATATGGATTCGGTCATTTCATGGACAGTGCTCAATCCTTATTCCTTTCCGCTCGCTACATCTCAACATAACTCGTTCGACTAGGTGAGAAGCCTTGGCCATATTTTAAGAGTGAATAAATTGAAGTCATGGTCTATTAGCGCTATAGATGATTTTCCCGTCCTGATTTCACTTGTTTTTATTTTTTATTTTTTAAACAGATCTGAATGTTGATACTTCCGGCACTTTCGTCACGGCGAATATGGTCCGGACAGGACAGATTTTGAAATTGCAAGCCAATTTTCTGCGTATGTCACACCCTTACAGGTTTAGAGCTCATGTCGTCGGGCAATTTAAAACAAATAAACATTGTTATTTTATTAAAACAAATATCGTACGATCACCCACCAGCATTTTTATTTGGAGGGAATTTTTCCTTAGCCTTGCCGTATCTCATTAATTAATGCGTTCGTAAAAAGCCGTCATATCAATTTCACGTTGGTTGCTATGATCAATTATTCCCAATTGATTTTCGGAATTAATTGTTGCTTGATTACGGCAAGTGCCACCAATTGCACCCTGAAATTAGCTGATCTATTATGATTATATATAAAAATTCAAAACTCTTTATTGGTTAAGCCCGGCATTTTTCGTTTTCATCCACTTCAAGGTTTCCCTTGAACTAGGAAATTCGTCTGTACAATTAGATTTTCTTTACATGTCAAATAACAGTTACTTTGAACGTGAAACCATTTTTGGGGCTCAATTTGAAACTAACGAGGCAATTCACTTCAACGCCAAAGCGCAGCTTTTTAGAGGCTAATTCAGGGCTTCCCAACCTTTTTCACGCGCGACCCCAATAATCGCTTTCGCACCATTCACGACCTCATGCACTGGGCGAAGTTAGACAGGCTCCCCTCTTCCTATCCACTAAAATCGCAAAGAAAAAAGGTTGGGCTACATCCCAGCGGGGGGGGGGCTCATGACGTCACTGGTATACACTCTCCTCGGCTGACTGATAAAATCTCCTTTTTCTAGTCTATTTCTCCTCTGTTAAAAATGTCATATCGGCTAGTTTTTTCTTGCCATATTACCTTGCTCTTTGCACCTCCATTCTAT